AAAAAGTATTGCCTAGACCCATAAACTTATTAAAATAAAAACACAATTTATAATCTATAAAAATTATAATCATGCATATCTGACTGTTTATAAGAATTTTTTTTTTGTGCCTAATGATTTGCAATTAGGTAAAATTGTTATTTTTACCTCGAAAGTACATTTGTATCTGTAACATTATCATTTTCAATTTGAAATTCCAATTGACAGATTATTAATATGTAACAATGAAATTAAAATAATTATTATGTTGAAACCTGAATGGAATGTGAATGAAAGATTCCGAGTTAAATTATTTAAATTATAAAATAAAATAAGGCGGAAAATTGTACGGTAATGAATTCGTTATAAAATACAGGACATAAGTTTTTACTTTTCCTTGAAATATTAAAGATATTTTAGTTTGAATTATATATTTTGAAATTACTGACATAATTATACCTTTTTATCGTTTTGGGTATGAAGCTTCCATTTACTAAAAGAAACAAAAAGCTGTGATAATTTTTCAAATAGCATTATTAAATATATTCAGTAGAAATTAAAATTGAGTGTTTTAAATAATCTGAATGCTTCACAAATATTTATTATATATGGATAAAAATTTCATATATTCATTTAATTAAACTATAATTTTTATAAAGAGAATTTAAAAGTATATTTAAAATATATTTAAAAGATATGTAACTATAGTTGGCTGAAAAAATTTGTAGTTAAATACTCTATTTTTACAATGATTACAAGATTTCTAACTCTCGATTGACTTAGTAATCTGTATTAATAGTCGATTAGTCGATCTGTTGTTGTCCTTCTTTGACAACGTGCTTAAAGTACAGTGACACTTGTGTCAACTGTTGAGGACCTGTACGATGTCGAAGTGTCAAGTTAAGTAAGTCCGCCCGACTTGTTTTTGTGCGAGGTATGACTAACTAATTTATTAATATAAAAAGATGTACCTTGTGAGCTGCAGGTAATCTGTATTAATGTTATTCGTCTTCAAAACTACGTGAATACTAATAATAAATTCACTTTTACCAATTAAATGTGAAAATCTTAAAAATTTTAACAATTAATTTAATAGTTGAACTTCATATGTTGCCAACTTCAGAGCTTACTTCATCTCGGATAATTTTGTAGCCAGTGAAGTTAAATAAATTTTTGCATAGCATAAGCAAACTATTAAATAATAAATGCCAAAGAAAAGCGAGGAATAAAATATTCCCTTACGTGTGCTGGGTAACATCTTTTATCTCATTCTGCATATATCGGTTGTTATTACCTTCAGTATATTGCCCGCTATCCGATTTACATAAAGACCCAATGAGTGTACTCTAGTACTCTCCGCTGCATCTCTAGTATCCTTTCAATGGCCAATGTTTCCGGATGTACATATTTAAACGAGCTGCAAAGTAAGATGGAGATTCATCGATAATTAGATAGATAGATAGAATTAGAGTAAAGGAGAGAATAAACGAGAAAGAGAGAGAGAGAGAGAGAGAGAGAGAGAGAGAGATTGAATTTCAAATCGTTTTTAATTGTACCATAATGCAATGGCAAATACATTTTTTTCTATATAAAATTCAATGTTTTCTACCTCGTACTAAATAGTTTGATATTTCATTAAAAACTTGATGCATATTCAGTATTTATATATATATATATATATATATATATATATATATATATATACTTATTTTAAATAGAATTTGTTTTTTGTATTTTTATTAACAAACTTTTGATATATTAGTAAAAATTCATAATATGCTTTAGTATGTATATTATTTTTATAAATTCTAAAATTATGATTAGATATATACGATATTTTGTAATATATATTTTCGTTATTCTAATACAAATGAATTATTAAAAAATTTAATTCTTTTACAATAATCTAAATGCAGATTATTACTAGTCGTGACGATGTTGTTAAAATGTATACAATCCACATAAACTCTGTAGAGTGAATCCTTATAATATTTTATAATGGTTCATATATTGTAATTTTTTCTTTGAAAGGATAATTTTTTATCCTTATGTATCAACTTACTAAGTAATTAATTGAAGTTATTATACAATTTTTATCTTTTACAATTAATTTTTAATACAAATATACTCAAATAATAATCAAATATGAGACTATTCAACAAATGTGGTACTGTGAAAAAAAATTATTTATCAACAAAAAATAATGACGTATAAACATATAATTACGTAAAAATAGTTTCAAACGTGTAATTAAAAAAATTTCTAATGTTTATTTACGATTTCATATTTCGTATAAATTTTATTTCCACTTATATTGCAAATAAGTAAGTTAAGATGTTCTTTGTGTATATTCATATTCTTAGAGTAGGACGCACAAATTCATTATTTTGATAATTGTAACATCCAGTATTGTAAATTTTCATTGCTTTTTATTAAATACAGCGCTTTTCGTATTTATGAATATTTTTTATCTTCGTTTCAAGTAGGTCATTGATAATAATTTAATATAATTATAATCTTTCTACCTAACTTCCAATTTAGTTTTAATGTCTAAAAAAGTTCTCCAATTCAGATTATTTTTCTTTTTATGAACAGTTTCTACTTTTATCTTTTTTACGAGTAGTAAAAAAAAAAGATGCAATAACTCAATGAAAAAATTAATTATTGTGATGCATAAATAGGTTGTCCACCCAAATTATCAAGATCATATGAAAAATACTAGATATGTCTATAATTCTGAATTATATAATAATTTTGTTCACATACATATTAAAGTAATGAATTACGTAGTAATTAATAACGATTCACTTTTTAAAAATATTATGTATAAAATTCATAACAATCTAAAGAAATAATAAAGTTTTAGAGACATAAAATGAATAAAATTCGAAATACTTTCAAATATAATTCATAAATAACCTCAAACGAGATATTTCTCATTAATACGTACATTTTATTATCATTAATACATAAAATAAACTTATATAAGCAAGTAACGAAACTTATAAAAATATTAGTTTATAGTAGATAGTACAGCTCGTTTTTACAAATAAAAAAAGTTCTAATATTTTTTAAAATTATTCAGTAATAAATATTAAGAATATATTTTTCATAGTATTGTATTATTTTGTCATTGATAATTTTTTTAATAATTTATTCAAGAACTTAAAATGAAATGTTATATATTGCTAAATAAATATATTTATAATTCATCCTGGAAATACGGCGCAACTTAATATTTAACGATACTAAGGTATCATTCGCTAAACCAGCCACCAAAAAAATCTTGAAAATATCTTTCTGATTGCAAATCATCATTTCCATGATAATTAATTTTAATTTCATTGTTAATTATAATTTTTTAAATGATTATTTTAAGATTTTTATGCTCTATAATTTTTTACAAAGGGCTATGCTTTTATTCTTCTTATTCTGGTTTATATTCTATTTTAATTTATTTTAATTAACTGAATAAATTTCCATATTGCTTCAGTTAATACGAAATGCATTGTCGTAAAAGAAATGTTTTTAATAATATATACGTATATAATTTAATTTTAAGATACATGAAAATACGATATTGACCCATTGCGTGAATATCGAGCTAAGATAAACTTTTTTAAAAGGCATTTTGAAATTAAGAAAGCATTCAATTTAATAGAATTTTAATTTACAAGTGGATAATTTATTTTTAGGAAATTGATTTTATCAGATGTAAATAATTTCGAAGCTTTTTTTATTATAAATGTTAAATGTTAGTAAGAAAATATATTATCAAAGCAAATGTTGTTGAAATTTTATGTAACTAAATGCGTATAATAAATATTATTTTAATGCACAGGTACCTCGTAGTATTAAATGCGCATATAAAATCAATAAATCAAATATATCGATACTTCATTATAAATTTAATTAGAACGTCAACGTATAAGTTATTAAAATTTACTTTTATTGATTTTAAGATGGATATTTTCATAAATTCAGATTATTAAATACGTATGTATATACTCATTAACCAACCTCGACTGTTCAGATCATTTTAATGTTCTCGTAGTTGATAACATCCTTCATTATTTAGGGTTTGTAATTTAAGATTATTTTAAAATTCACATGCAATTACGTAAAAACAAAATGCATAAATTATGGGCAAAATTCAGACAGAATTAAGTATTTCTTTTGAAAAATCGATAATCTTAATATTACCATTAAATGGCAAATGTAAAAGATACAGTACGTAATAAATATGCTGTATGCAATATTTTTTAATTTGAAATTACAAAATTGATTAAAAAACGAAATATTACATTAAATTTTTAATTTGGATTACATTAAATTATTTGTTTAAAGTTATTAATTTTTAAATATTTTATTTTTCATTACAATTTCACAAAATCATATTACAAATAATATTGTTTGTGCAAATATATAATACTATATTTATGATAAAACATTTCTTGACGCATTAATAGCTTGAATTTGTGTTAAGAAAAGCAGATATGAATTTTACATCAATATTTTATATTTTGTGAGAAAAAAATTAATTTTTTAAATATAACATTAGTTTATTTATGTTCATTTATAACTACTTTGATATGTATAGTATAGATTTATCAATGATCAATTATTGTTGTCAATTAAGAATGCAATTGATTTATATGAACATATTGTTGAAAAAACATGAATAATTATCGAATCCCTTAATATTATGAATAGCGAATGTAGAAGTAATTACATTAAAATATCAAAACTATTTAATATGTTAAATAATAAAAATTAATTATATATGCTTTATCTTAGACCTAAAAGATATATATATATATATATATATATATATATATATATAATTATATATATATGAAAAAAATTTGACATCAGTTTTAAGATATTTATTTCTCTTTTTTGCTTTTTATTGATCATTCAATATTTGTGTGATAATTGCTTTGAAGAAATATTAGTAATCTACAGTAAATCATATAGTTAATGTATTTGTTATTCATATATATTTTATAACTATAGTAATAATGCTATTCAATGTAATAGAGTGTTTTACAAACATTTTAAGTGAATTATATAACAATATCAAATTGTTGTTATCTATACTATCTTTTTAATAATTCGTATGATAATATACTTTTTATTACTAAAATATCCTGCATTAAGTAAATATTGATATTTTAAATGTAATCAAGTTTTGTTGCCTTTTACTAGTTTAAGACTGATTATATTAGCTGTTTTTTAATTGGCGGTAATATTTGTCTTCATTAAAATCATCCCTTTTATGAATATATTTATATATTAAGCTTATTATAGATAAAATTATTAGTTTATAATATAATTTTACATTTACATTTATTATACTTTACATTTACATAATTTTACGTATACATTTTTTTTTATTAAGTTTTTTATGAAATAAATTGATGAATATTGGACTTTACCACTCATTTTATTTTTCTGGACTTTAGGTCACGTGGGTAAGGCGTAAGGACAGGCAACTGTTAACTGTCGAACGAAATACTCACTCGGTAGACAAAAGATTTATGGTGAAGCACGTAAACTCGGACTGGTCGCTATTGATACAAAAAGTTACTCATGATGATGCTGGCTTATACGAATGTCAGGTGAGTTTGTTAAATTTTTCAATTTTATCAGTAATTGATTATCTTTTATTCGGTGTTCTGCCTCATATAGAAGTACTTTAAAATTTATTTAGCATTATTAGGGAATTTTATCTAATTTTATTTAGGAAGTAATACTTACCTTAATATTAAATGTATACATTAAAGCTCTATTAATTCAAATTAAATTAATTAAAATTTTCATTGTCTAATAAGTGATGAAAGAGTAATGGAATAATATAAAAAATAATGTCAAATATTCGAGAGTAAATGAGAAAGTATTATCAATATTTCATATATTACTTCATCAAATACAAACTTATTTGGAATATTATAAAATCATTCTTATAAATTTTATAATTGTTAACGTATTTGTAACTGACAATAGTTAATATCTAGTTAGAGAATTCAGAATAAACGGATAATGAAAGATATCGTTTTGAAGCATAAAATAAAAATAAAAAACCACAATAAAATATAATTGTTTTGGTATTATGTAGATATTTACTTGTGCAGGTGACATCACATCCCGTCCAACATTACTTTGTACAGCTGAGTGTGACCGAAGCCTATTCGGTGATACCCGGTGCACCGGATCTTCACGTGAAGCAAGGATCAAATTTGCGTTTGGAATGTCAATTAATGTCGTCTACCGAAGCGCCGCTCTATGTGTTCTGGTATCGCAATTCTCGTATGATTAATTATGATTCAGAACCTGGTGTTAAAGTTGAACTTACAAAAGCTGGGTCGATTCTCGAAGTAGAGAGAACGCAGCTAAGCCACGGAGGAAATTATACGTGTGCGCCAAGTAATGCCAGGGAAGCCTACGTAATGGTTCACGTGTTGGAAGGTTAGTCCTTGACTTTTTATATTTACGAGAAATATTAAGAAAATTTGTACGTTACAGAATAAATAGAATTTCAGACATAATGTATCACTAACAATAATATTTATAATATAGCTTTTTTTTTTTTTTTTTTTTTTTTTTTTTAAAAAAAAAAAAACATAATGAGTTATTTATTGAGTTGTAACGCAAATGTATTTATAATCTTTATTAAGAAAATTAAAATATTAATTTTAAAACCGAAATTAAGAAGACGATATAGCATATTTTATAACTACCTTGTTACATAAGAAATATAATTCAATATAATTTGTAAATGGAGTTTCCAAAAAGAAAATATAAAGGTTATTAAGTTATGTAAAATATTGGAATATAGTTTTGTTATACATTCGAAATTACTTAAATAATATAATAATCAAAGTTTTTATTTATGTAAAATTTAAAATATTATTAAATGCAATATAAATAACAATATCATATGTACAATGCACGATTAAAAAAAAAATGTATATATTTCATAAATACCAAATAGTTTTATTACAATATATATGACATTATTGAAGTATTTACCTAATATAATGAATATTATTAATTGTAGTTGCTATTTTGTCGTTGCAAAAAGAAATTTTGCTCAGTATTAAAATAAAATCTATGAGAGATTCAAAAGAACTTAAATAATTATTATCCTGATCAATAAGACATATACAATCATTTCAGCATAATGATATTAATGTTTCACCTTCCTTGTTCATTGGGAATCAATTATCAATGAAACATTATTATTAATACTTGCGATTTCTTTTATTTTCGTAGCACTCTATTCATTATTCAGTATTTCGAATGTACTATGAAGAGGGTTAAGAATTTCCCTTTTGTACAAAACTTTCGGAAATTCGTTATTTAACATAGTATCGATGTTACATTTACATTAAAGTATTTAAACATATTAGACGAAATATGCTAACTTTTTAATTTCACTTTACAGAAGAGGAGAAGCCCGCAGCAATGCACGGTGGGGATCGTAGGAATTTGAGCCCAGCAATTTTAGCCAGCAATTTTCTCATTTCTTTGCTAGCGACTGTAAGCTGGAGGATACCTACCTACACGAATCTTTATCCTACGTGAGCGAATCGATAAGCCATGGCGTACAATCCTTGATTTTCGACCAAAGTCGACGTAGCCACCAATGTATATTAAGATTCGTATATATATATATATATATATATATACTACTCTTACCTATATAAGATTATCTTGAAACAGTATTGATTGAAAGAATCCATTATCTAAATTATTAGAATAAATATTTTATTTTTTAACAAATTATTCTCTGTAATACGTAGATTTTTAATTTTTAGATATATCTAAGTTTTTCTACATACGCATATGTGTATACGTGTATATATAACACAGAAATGCGTGCGTGCGCACAGAATAAGCCATCCACGTATCAACATACATACAAATATACGTAAAAGATGTTGAAAGTCGAATTAACCCTGTCAGATATTATTAAAAGTATCTATGAGTTTACTAATTATATTTGTTATACGGCAGTGCAAACGTACACAAACATACGTACTTTATCGTAATTTCAACGACATACTTGTATCCTTAATTTTATACAACGCACGCTCATAAGCATCGCAATTGCTAATGAAAGGCGTAAATATATATTTACTAATATGTATTTTAAATGTACATAATTAGATATATTTTATTTTATTACAAACACTAACTACATTCATTGAATTAAAAATGTGAAAAAGTTGAAAGAGTTTTGATAATGATTAAGATTATATAAATTATATTGATATACTTACAGTAGTGGTACAGACATTTCTTAAGATATTAGCAAACATTTAAAATAGACAAATTTAATCACGGATTGTAAATATCTTCCTCATTTAAAATAGCAAATAATTGTGAATACATTTTTTCTAATTAGGTGCAAAAAACTTATATTAAGTACGATATGTATATTTCGCATTCACAAAACCATGTGTATCACTACTTTTTCATTTCTTAGAAATTATATATTCATAAAATAATAAAATAACTTTATTCATTTAGTTTCTAATAAATTTATTGGTTAATTTAAAAGAAATATAAAATATGTAAACATTATAAATAATATCATATTTATTATACATTCTAATATATATGTATAATATTCGCTTAAACTGCAAAATAAAATTTATCAGAACATCTAAAAACTATAAAATTTCACAATAGCTTAATACTTGAGAATTATTAGAAATTTAATTTATAAAAAAATACTGTTCATTACTAAGTCTCACATTTATACATTCGACATATAATTTCATTATTTTATAAGCTAATTATCTCATTCTGCAGATGTATATTTATGAAAAAATATGCTATTGGAATGTCAATATTCGTGATATGAAATTTAAAATCGTACATATACTGTAAAAATTTGAACAATATTCAATTTTAAATAGTTAAAGGAATTGTTTTAAACAATGTTGAGAATTTGCATTGCAATTTGTACTTAATAAAATGAGTCAACTATTATGAGACATTTATTTCAATAATGTATTTTATTAATTTACAAAAATTATTCTTATATAAATATTATTATATAGATAATATATTAATCGTAATTTTAGTAATTAATGTCTTAAATTATATACGATCGCTTCATAAAATATTTTATATATTTTTACAGAATATATATATATATATATATATATATATTAAAAAACCGAATAAAAATGAATAACAATTAAACAAAATTATTATTTTTTGCATATAATATTTAGTGAATATATTTCAAATAATATAATTGATAAATATACTTTAAACGATTGATAGATATTAATATTTCTATTTATTTAAATACATACAAACAATTTACGAATTGAGTAAAATTTATTTCTACAAGATTTAAGTAATATTGAAGAAATTGAGAACTACATCTTAATAAATATATAACATTTTATAAAAATGTCCGTATAAGATTAATATTTATCTACCTATTTTTAATGTTATTCTAAGATTTCCTTTAATGTTAATTTTTTTTTTTAGATAATAAAGAATATATAACATTTAAAAGTTATAGATATTTTATTAATTTCAAATTTATTTTCTATAAAATAACAAATTAAATACTATAATTTATGAAAAAAATACATTCGAATAAATTTTTATATTTAGTAATGTTAAATAAATTAATTTTGGCATTTTATTTTATAATTTCATTTTATGATTCTTATTTAATAATACATTATTTGCAACAATTATAGACTTAAATTGTTTTGAGATTGTAATATAATTATAAAAATTTTTGTACAATGTAAACCATTTATAATATTTTCAAAATAATATATTTATATCTTATCTAATTTTAGCATAAATATAAAATTGAAATATGTTATTATTGTGACTATTCGGTTTTGCTATAAGAAAAATTCGTATTTGTATTCCAATATATTATTAAATTAAATGAATATATGTATTATTAAGTTAGCTTTTTATTTATTAAATAAAATTTAATCTTTATAATAAAATAATATCTCTAATTTAATGCAAATTCTCAATGGTATTATATATTATGTATAAAAATTTAAAGCTACTCCATTGAAATACAATATATGTATAGCAATTTTTTACTGTGAAAAAGATGAAATTGGAATTATTGTGATTGCGATCGTAAACAATGTAGTGTACAAAGACAAGATGAGAAAGAGTGAGTGAGAGGGATAGAGAGAGAGAGAGAGAGAGAGAGAGAGAGAGAGAGAGAGAGTGCGATAGAGGGAGAGAGGGGGTGAAAGAAGGAAAAAGAGTTGGAATCATTTCTGAAAACATTTTTTCTTACTTTAATAAAAATATCTTTTACAACATTGACATCTGGTGTCTGTCAATATGCTTTGTCTTAAAATTCAATTCTCTACCGAGGAACAAATTGTTTATTCAAGTCGTACCTTATATTATATTACTATGTAATTGTAGTTTGGATCATAATATTAAACCTGGCACTAGACGATATCTATTCATATTATTCTTAATTCAAAGTCTTTATAATAAAAGTATACAGAATTACAGACTTCTAGTAATTTATCAAATAAATTTTAACAATCTAAATTGCAATAGCACAATTTTTAAACCGAAATTATATATATATATATATATATATATATATATATATATATATATATATATACAAAACAATTAGAAATTTAGAAATTAACGATGGAAATAATTTATTAATAATTTTTTATTTTGATCTAAATAAAATATTTTCATTTTAATAACAATTTCAAAGTATAAACATAAAAATTACAAGCTTCAATTTTTTCAATGGATAAAATCTGCCTATTTATGTATATATTAATGATTTCTACAACACATGTAATTATATTATTCTTTGCACGATTTGTATCTATAATCACAATGTTATATTTAATTAATTATTAGCGATATTTAAAGCTTGAAATTGTATTTATAAAAAATCGGTTTAATCAACTGGAATATTTTGTATATATCATATTGCAATTTTGATTATATATTATATTTAGAAAGAGTAATAAAAGTATAGATCTGGAAAATCTCATGATTATGTTTAAAAATGAAATCATAAATTTAATGGTAGTTTTAAAATATTTAAAATATTTTTGGCCTAACATGAATGATATTAATAGATATCATTAATAATAAAATTCATTTATCATCTATAGTAATTATATAGCATTCTTATTTATGTTTGTGAAAATATGTTTTCGATTAATAACAGTACAAAAGAGGTAAAAATATGGCCAAATGGAATAAAAGATGTAAAAATGACATAATAACATTAAAGAAAACGTGAAAAAAAGGAAGAGATACATTAAAAAAAAAAATATGTTTATGAAGAAAGTTTCAAACGTGATGTATGATGAAGTGTAAAATACTTCAATATTTCTGAGATCTGACATAATTTTTAAATAGATAGATCATTAAATTAAAATTCAATATTATGTTTTTGTAATTATGATGCAAAAATAAATAACATTTAAAACTATATTTGTATAAGTAATTGAAGTCTTAATATAAGGAGAGATTAATATTACATTATTCGCATTTTATTTAATAATTATTCCTAATTGTAATTATGCATATTATTTCAATACTTATATATACATGTAATTCTTAGAGGATTTAATAGAAATTTATTTCATGTTTCGTTAAAATAAAATCTTCATAATTACTATAAGAAATAAATATAAAACTATTTAATGAGTATATAAGATAAGACGTGTATACGAGATAAGATTTACCTTTAATTATATTAATATTCTTATACATCAATATGTATTAACATTATATGGCATAAATCATTGCATTACTTTATTATAATTGCATTACGTTATTGATATTTTTAATTAGGAAAAAATATAATATTCATTTATTTTCATTTATTAAGGAATTTTAGGAATAATTCTATAGCTAATTGTAATATTATCTTCTATAGTCGTATTATTAAAAGCTTGGTTTATTAATTTTTTTTTTGAAACCTTGCTTTAATGAAAAAAATTGAAAAACATTTTTGTTACAATTATCTCTAAATTTAAATAAAACACGTTCCGAAGTGTTTTAGTGCAAACTTAATATTATGTAGTATAAAAATATTTTTATTATCAAATTTATATACACTTCCATAATGTTGTGAAATGAATAATAAGTACTAAAAAAATATAAGTTTGTATTAAAATGATAAATTATTATTATTGCGGATTATAATTTATTTTTGTAATTTTGTATATGTCATGGAAAAATAATTTTATTAATGACATTTAAAATATATAATTATACCATCAAATATGCCTTTGAAGAAAACCGAGGAAGAGCACTCTTCTATCACTTATAGCATTTTAGCATTATTTTAAAATGTTTTGCAAAACAATCATTATAACATTTATTAATTGTATAGATGAATTATAATAGATTCATATGGTTCAATTCATTATCGAAATCTGAAAACTACCATTCACTTTATTTTACATTTATGTATGATTTTTATAATAAAAAAAAAAACATAAGGAAAGTACGTGTAGTTCGTATTTTCAGATCTAGATTCTATAAAGATATATATATATATATATATATATATATATATATATATATATATATATAAGTGAATTAACGAATATATACAGTTTAAG